CCCAGTCCAGGGGAAGGATACTGCAAAATCCCCATTTCCTCCCCAGTCCAGGGGAAGGATACTGCAAAATCCCCATTTCCTCCACACTCCAGGGGAAGGATACTGCAAAATCCCCATTTCTTCCTGATCACCTGGGACTTGGGAGGTAGAGAATAGATGGGGGCGGGGCCAGCCGGAGGTGGTATTTACTGGTTCTCCGAACTACTCAAAATTTCTGCTACTGGTTCTCCACTTCTGCACGAGCTCTATATTGTCTATTTCTGTTCTGATACTATCCACTGAATTTCTGAAAACAACTGAGCTGAAGGTGGTTGTTTTTACCTAGACTTCCTGGTGGCACATATTTGATGGAAAGATTCATCACCCCTCGATGGTCAACACCGTTAATGGCGGAGAGGCTCTGGAAAAGAAAAGGCCACAATAGACAAAAAATCAAGAATGGCCAGAGATTGCTCAGTCACCAGACACATCAACCTCTAAAGCAGAATATCAGCCGAGCTGTGCTTACCCGTGGTTTAAGCATGTACCAGTTTAATTTATTGTTTCTCCAGTCCCAGCTGGCCAAGTCAATTTCCATCTCACCCAAGAAACTGTTCCTTCCCAAGGGATCGTTGTGCCACACAGACAGGTTCAACTTTTGAATCAGCAAAACCATTTTCTGTATTTTATACTGGGGAGATGTTGAAAGAGAAATGGATACACTTAAAGTCACCTGTAGCTTTATTCGGGGAAACACCTTAGAATTAAGCCCTAACACCCATGAATTGGGTATGGCTAGTTCAATGAAAAGAAGGACTGGAGTGACACGATAACTGTATTCCAGTAGGAAAATAGGAGTCAACCTATTCTCCAAAGCACCTGAAGGTAAGACGAGAAGCAAAGGATGGAAACTAATCAAGGAGAGAAGCAACTTGGAATTAAGGAGAAACTTCCTAACAGTGAGGACAATTAACCAGTGGAACAGCTTGCCTCCAGAAATTGTGGATGCCCCAATAACTGGAAGTTTCAAAGAAGAGATTAAACAACCATTTATCCAGAGTGGTATAGGGTGGGGGGAAGGGGACCAGAAGACCTCCAAGATCCCTTCCCACTCTGTTATTCTGTTATTTTTAATCTTCTTAAGACAAGCCTGGTTTTCCTTACCCGCAACACCTCGTTGTAAACGGGGCTGGTCGTTCTTTTCTTCACCGATGTCTTTCTCTTGCCCATCCTTGCCTTATCTGGAAGCAGGTATGTTTTCACGTACCTGGAAAGAGATGTTCACTAAGTGAAAAATTCAACTGACCAGTTCTTGGATATCAACCAGAGATGATCCAGCTTCTGCTGGTTTTGATGATTTGATGGACTTGGGAACAACCCAGGACAAAAGCTACGCTTGCCTATTTTTCTAATCTGAACATTTCTGCTAGGGTCATCCAAAGTGTAAGATGGCCAGGTATGTTGGTGAAAACACAGTGCTTGTCTCTAATTTGTTGATGCTATTGTGTCCTCTGGAAGATGTTTCCTGCCAAATCATCCTTGCATGAGTTTGCTCACCAAATCTATTAATTTCACAAGGAGTCCCAACAGAGTCTAGGACTGTTAATACCACTTTATAATGCCTTGGTAAGGCCACACTTGGAATACTGCATTCAGTTTTGGTCACCACGATGTAAAAAAGATGTAGAGA